GAATTCATAGATGATAGAAAACCTGAAAGGGAACGCAGAGAGAAAGAGGACTATAAAGCGAAAGAACGTGATGATAGGATATTTGATCATACATCTGACAAAGATCAAGATAACCGCTATGATAAGAGTCCCATTAAAGGTAATTTGATGTTAAGTTGCAAAAATATACAGTTTTTCATATCAAGTATTATTATTGAAATCTGTTTAATATTAATGAAAATATTAATGAAAATATATTCAGATAAAATACATAAGTATTTATTGGTATTTAGTTATTAAATTGTATAGACAATTTTATGTTTATTATCATTTTTCCCAAATGTAGAAAGAACGCGGGAAAGATGTGAACCATCTCAAAAGGAAACGACTAAAGAGAATGACAAAGATGAAGACAGGTATAGTACACCAAATATATTATTTATAAATTTATCTGCATACTTATGTATATAAATAAAGTACCATAAATTATTATTCATATTGTTTAACATTAATGTGAATTAATTACGTTTGAAAATATATAACTTTATTTAGATCGAAAGGAAATATAAACTGGCAGGAGAATTCGAACAAGAACGTCATAGATACAAAGCCATCAGAGAACAGGTATGTTTTTCTGATTACTAAATGCGTCCTAAATGTTTTAGTCTTTGAAATATTGTAAAATAAACGCTTTCATGACTTTTGTGTTCTTAAATTTACATTTTAATACACATTGGTGTCCATCTGTAGATATAATGTTTCTGACAAGTATTGCATTTTGCATAAAGTATGAAGACTTATTTATGCAAATTCATACCCTCTCTCTCTCTCTCTCTCTCTCTCTGTCTGTCTCTCTCTTTCTCTGTTTTTAAACTGCTAAAATGCAGTTGTAAAATGTCATTATACATACTTTTATTCATTGTGTCAATATTATTGGCACATAAAAATATTTCGAAAACCATTGGTTTTCTTCATTAACAATGTTATATATATATATATATATATATACATGTATTTTTATGTGGCTATATTATTAATGCCACTATATTGATTAATATTATGTAACCACATATTAAGCCACGAAAATTTTATTTATATGCGTAATGCAAATGAAAACTATTTCTGAAAATTATTTATGCTTCTGCTATTTTATAATATATATCGTAAAAGTTTTTAGAATTAAACGCATGGATCACATAGCGGCATAATACAAACACGTTTCATTTTAATCTGTTCGTATTATGTGCAAACATGTTTCTTGTGATTTAATTCATTTACTTTAATAAGATAACATGGAAAACATTTGCTATTTTCAGGTGATGGCTATTTTTTAAAATAGCTTCCAGAAGGTTTCACTTATTTACTGTGCTTAATACAATTTTGAAACTTTTTAATATTGTAATACCTTGTGCAAAAAACATCAAATATAGCACATTTAAATTTGAATATACCAGTCCTTACTACTTACAATTATTTATCTCTATTGTTATTTCTTTTCCATTATGTTGTACAAAAAGAGTATTATATGTTCTTTATTCTATACTTAAAGATTATAAGTAGATTATATAAAAACCTTTTAAATAAGTTGACATTGTTTATTATAGTGTTACAGATGCTCAGCATAATGTGTTGGAATCTACACCAAAAACTTTGGAATTGGCAAAAACACCAAACTGCACAATGGTGGATGACTTATTGTGCCCTCCAGGTCGTCAGAACAGACCACCAAAAATAGCTATAATTTTAAGGGGTCCACCAGGCAGTGGAAAATCTTTTGTGGCGAAACTTATTAAGGTAAAGTTATATTTATTAAGATATAATTTACTTTGTCTTATAAATAACGATACAATTTCGAACATATCTTTTTATAGGATAAGGAAGTTGAACAAGGAGGTTCCGCACCAAGAATATTAAGTCTTGATGATTATTTCTTGGTAGAGAAAGAGATAGAATCCACAGATGATAACGGAAAGAAAGTTACAGTTAAGGTATAAAACAAATTATTTTTTTAATTAAATTGAAAGTTTTAAGCACAAATAAATTGCAGCACTTTTTGATTTAATAAACTTTACAGGAAATGGTCTATGAGTACGAGGAAGCAATGGAGCAAAGTTACATCACATCTCTTGTTAAAGCTTTTAAAAAGAATATTACCGATGGTTTCTTTAATTTCATTATATTGGATTGTATCAACGAAAAAATATCCGATTATGAAGAAATGTGGAGTTTTGCTAAAACAAAAGGCTTCAAAGTAAGTTTTCATTGCAGCATCAAAATTCGAATAAATGAGAACAGAGAACAGTTCTTTGTTAATATTTTTTTACATAAATGTTTATAGGTGTATGTTTGTGAGATGGAAATGGATTTACAAATTTGTTTAAAAAGAAATATTCATAATCGTACAGAAGATGAAATAAATAGAATTATAGATTATTTTGAGCCAACTCCGAGTTATCATCAAAAATTGGATGTTAACTCTATGTTACAGGAACAAGCAATTGAAGAAGTATATTCTTTTTTATTAGGTTGTATATTTATTTTTTCAGATTCATATTAATTATTTACCTGATTTTAGGTTCATATGGAAGACACTGAAGAAACCCAGGAGAAATCTCCACAACAAAATGAAGATAGTCAAGATAGTCAAGATGATACTCAAGATACTATTGTAATTTACCAATTTCATACATATATATTTTTGTAAATATTAGGTTCATGATATATATATACTGTTATCTATTTATAGGGGGTTAGCAAGTGGGAACGTATGGAAGCAGAGGACAAATTAGGTACGTTATTATATACTTTGGAAGATATTAATATATCTTACAAACAATCTATATCTTGTCTAACGTTATTAATTATATCAATTTAAAATAGATCGTTTGGATGGGCTTGCAAAAAAGAAAAATGAAGGAAAGGTGCAAACTATGAAAGATTTCCTTCAAGTTCCTGACTATTATAACATGGAAGATACTTCTGGCAAAAAACGTGTAAGTATATTTTTGTTTGATTTATCGATAAAATATACAGATAAATTTATCATGAACTGTTGGATTTGATAGGTACGTTGGGCAGATTTGGAAGAACGTAAAGAACAAGAAAAAATGCGCGCTGTAGGATTTGTAGTCGGTCATACAAATTGGGATCGTATGATGGATCCCACAAAAGGAGGAAGCGCCTTAACACGCACAAAGTATATATGATTTAACTTTACCTCTAGGTTATCTAGAAAAAATTACAAAAATTGATATTATTCGCGTGTAAGTTCTAGTCTACAAATTTACACGATTATTTATTAAGACCCGTAAGAACGAATCTTTTTGCATTTTTACAAAGAACGAAGAATACTTCGTATTTAGAAATAAGATGTATGTAAAAGTGGAATTATAGAATTTATAATTAATTAAAGCTTATGTAAAAAGTTGTATTACGTAACATCAGAAAGAGTGTTTATGTTACAGTATTATTGATGTCGTATAAAGACTGTTCTTTTAGCATAATTAAATTAAATGTTGCAATTAAATGTTACAATTTTATAAAATTTCTTACGAATCTGTTAATGTTGTGATATCTTTGCAAAGAAATACTCTTAAAATTGGGCAAATCTTACATTATTGTATTGACAACAATTTATTTCAATGAAAAACATATACAATGCCAAAGCATTACGTTTGTATCTATGTAATTACATATATGTTTGTATATGTTTCCATAAATTGTTTTTTTCTTTTCCTTTTCGGAAAAGAATATTCAAATTTCATTTTAGAAATTGCGTATAAGGTGATGTATGAGCATCATTTTAACTTTCCTATAGTCTATAATGTGTATTTTTACAAATGTAAAAGATCTTTTTGTACATTTATACATGAACAGTATTTTTTCTAATCTAATTTTTTTTAATTATATAAAAATTTCCTAAAATCATGGATGTTGTTTTATTCTAAGCATTTAGAGTGTCGTTGTTACTATAAGAGTTTTTTTTTTTAAATATATATCTTTATACAGATATTAAATATTCAATGCCTTATATGATCATTATTATATTGCAGGTTTTTCTCACTATCATAATGACATATTTTTATTCGACTACAGTAGTGTACAGAAGTGAACACGAGATGTCTTCAAACTTTCAAATTCTTCAGATGATGTATGGTTCTATTATAGCCTTATAGAAAATCTAGGCTAGTGTAAATCTTGTTAATTTATGTAAAGCATGCTGTAATTATTGTACATAATATTAATGAAATTGTTTTCACGATACATTTCTATATTTACTTCATGCATAATAATAATAATAATGTATAAGATACACTGAAAGCTTAAATATACGTGATAATCGTACACTGCCCATTCAGGATTGTAGCATTATGAAGATATACTCATTATTCGATTCAAAGAATAATTGTATCGATAAAGTAAAAAAAGAAAATAATAAATTGTAGAAAATTGTTTAATACTTTATAATTATTATTATAATTACATTAGATTTGTTTTTCGAAAATAGAAAAATGTTTACTTACAAATTTATACGATGTTGAATATTTAATAGAAAAAAATATGTATAAACATATACATATGTATATATATAATTATGATACTTTTCAATCATACTTTTTAAATCAATATTTTGGACAAAAATGTTAAATTAATCTTTTTTTTTGTATGTATATATATATATATAATATCGTATTTAAATTATTTTTGTAAGGAATGAAGCAATGTAAAAGTAATAATGAATAATTTTATGTATCTTTTATGTATTATAATAGTATAATGTTTATTAATAATAATAATAATACTTATTAATATTTAGTAGTAGTATAATATACTTCATATTATTGTGCATTTAACAATATTACATAATCAAGATTAAGAATTTTTAGTATTCTAAATTTTAGTACATCTAAAACTTCATATATGTACTTAAAATATGCGGGTCTTGCGTGTGGCGCCTTTTTGTGTCACTAACATGGCATTCCGTTGCAATGTACAGTTGCCTTAAAACTTCTCGATGTTTACGTTTCATCGTATCTTATAGTTTTTGCTTTAAGGTTTCTTCCAGTGTCTGTCTGACGTGTACAAAAATCAAAGTGCACGATCATCAATAGGTTAGATTGTAACATCAAATCAAACATTTTTTTATTACTAAGAAATCGTATAATCATGCTCGACTTATTTACTATATTCAGTAAAGGTGGTATTGTTCTATGGTGTTTCCAAAGCACCTCGCAAATATTTGCTCCTAGTGTTAACGCACTAATACGAAGTGTCATATTGCAAGTAAGTGTTGCTGTCAATGATATTTATTTTTTTGACTTTCGTTATGTCCATATGGAGTACTATTAAAAGTTTGATCTTAATGTTGAAGAGGGATTAAATTCGAAAAAAGGAGTAGCTTCCATATTTAAATAATCGATCAGTTAAACAACTAATATTTATCATAATGACATTTTGTATGTTTTTTTACAGGAACGTACGGGAAATCATACCTTTGAATACGATTCCTTACGCTTGCAGTATAAACTCGATAACGAGTTTGAGCTAGTGTTTGTTGTTGCATATCAAAAAATACTACAATTGTCGTATGTAGACAAATTTTTAAACGACATCCACTTAGAATTTAGAGATAGATTCAAAAATGAATTGGAGAACTCTAAGTGGTTTTACAATTTCGAATTTCAAAATAATTATGAGCATGTACTTGCTATGGCTGAACAATGGGCACGAACTCAGGCTAAGATACCTAAACAAATGCGTACTTTTGATGAAAGTCAAAAATCAAAAAAGACTGTTGCTAGTATGATTGAACGGAAAGATGACAAAGATAATAAAAAGCAGGGTATGTAATGAATGTAATTTGGAGATTTTATTCAATGTCTCTTTTATTTATTTCAAATGCTTTGCCTTTAGTAAGCTTAAGATATTACTAATTACTTTGTTTCTGTAGCTTAATACTATCTGTATATTCTTTTTACATTATTATTTCTTTTTTATATTGGAAGGCTTAAAATGGTTTAGGTATAATTCTTTATATAATACAAATAGTTCTATTATTTATGATTATAACATTGCCAATGGTTTTTTGGAGTAATCTAGAATTACTTTTTATTAGCCCTTTCATTTATTTTTTACTGTTGAGTATTTTAAGCTGCTGAGGATATTTGTCTAGGATTTAATATAGAATCACAAGCAATTTTCATTTAGGTAGTAATATGTCCTTTCCAATGTGGGTATCACTAACAGGAAATGGGGATCTTCGCTTCTAGGTAAAAGGAAGACGGGAGTTAGTACTAATAGAGATGATCAAAGTAAGTGATTTTGGATTTTACATACACACGTAATCTGCTGCATAAATGAATTATATGTTACTGCTATGGATTAACAATATTAACAGTGACTGGGTCTATGAGAGAATTAATATCTTCCATGTTATGATATAAGTTAAATATCCCCAATAATGAATTATTAAATTTTAAAAAGATAATTAAATGTCTGTAACAGTTCGTCTATTTTCCTTTTTCTTTCTAGTAATTTTTAGTCTTTTATGTTCTGATCTTTATTTAATTCCACAGTGAAAATTCAAGAGGTCCCTAAACAGGATTTGTCAAACAATCAAGTAAATCATAACGGAGAAATGGATGAAGAAGTTTTAATCGCAAATCGTATGAAATTGGCTCAAAAAATGAATAATCAAAAGAAAAAAGCTGATAAACAGTGAGTTTCTTACATTTAGAAACAATAAATTTTGTACTGTATGAAATAATATGCTATATACAATATTTATGTTTCATAGAAAAAGCCAAAAACCTGAGAAAGCTGGCAAGAAACCCCGCGTGTGGGAATTAGGTGGGACTATCAAAGATCTTGCTGCTTTGGAACGCACCAAAGATAAACCAGAAGAAAGTGGCGATTATGTGGGAGCTGATAAAACAGTATAAATTATTTATTTTTAATTAAATAATTGTTTAATAATTTATTCATAATTAAAGAATGAAATTTTCAAAATTGTCTTTTTAGTTAGTAGGCCAGATGAAAGGTGGCATTCGTGATATAGTAGTTGAAACTGATTCTGAGGATGAGTCTGACGAAGAAATGGAGAATCCCAAACCCCAAGTACAAAAGAAAAGCAACAGTATGTTTTCAATGTTCAAGAGTTTGGTTGGTAACAAGTCTTTGAAACATGAGGATATGGCTCCAGTTTTGGAAAAATTAAAAGATCACTTGATTTCGAAAAACGTAGCAGCTGATATTGCTCAAAAATTGTGCGATTCTGTCGGTGTAAAGCTCGAGGGAAAAGTACTTGGTACGTTCGATAGCGTGACTAGTACCGTCAAAGCCACGCTGACCGACGCATTGGTGCAAATACTGTCTCCAAAGAGACGTGTGGATATTCTGCGAGACGCAATGGAAGCAAAAAAAAATAACAGACCTTATGTTATGACTTTCTGCGGCGTAAATGGGGTGGGAAAATCCACAAATCTAGCGAAAATTTGTTTTTGGCTTATAGAGAATAATTTTCGTGTGCTAATTGCAGCGTGTGATACATTTAGGTGCCTTATTTATTTACCACAGTTTCTATTTCATTAATTTTTTATTTTAATATAGATGTGTTGTATTTTCAAATAATTTCATTTCAGAGCTGGTGCAGTTGAACAATTGAGAACTCATATGCGCCACTTGAATGCTCTTCATCCGCCAGAGAAGCATGAAAATCAATCTATGGTTCAATTGTATGAAAAAGGTTATGGGAAAGATGCTGCTGGTATTGCCATGGAAGCGATCCGTTTTGCTAAGGATCTGAAAATCGATGTAGTTTTGGTGGATACCGCGGGCAGAATGCAAGATAACGAACCATTAATGAGAGCCTTGACTAAGTTGATCAAAGTAAACGAACCAGATTTAGTACTCTTTGTTGGCGAAGCTCTTGTTGGAAACGAAGCTGTTGACCAATTGGTAAAATTTAATCAAGCACTAGCCGATCATAGTCAATCCACCAATCCTCATATCATTGATGGCATCGTGTTAACTAAATTTGATACAATCGATGATAAGGTGAATAGAATCTATCAACAGGATATAATTAAATATTTATCACGATATATTGTTATACTGTTTATTGTTATTGGTTTTCAGGTAGGCGCGGCAATTTCTATGACGTATATTACTGGACAACCCATCGTTTTTGTTGGGACAGGGCAAACTTATACTGATTTGAAGTCATTAAACGCAAAAGCCGTGGTACATGCATTAATGAAGTAATTGTTGATTTGAATAATAAAAGACGATATTAAAATTATTATATAAAAAAATTAATTAAAATTTCAATGGATTGTTATCAATTATTTCGTGGAATTAATTATCTCTATTATAATAATAATTACAATTATATACAAAAAGTTTAGCAAGAATAATATATTATCGTGTTTAAATACATATGTATTATTTTTGATTATCTTTCATCGATCTATATTGCTCTTATGATAAATTTTTTAATACGCTAGCGTTTAAACGACTCGGTAAATACTGCTATTCCTAGAATCCCTCGAATTCGTTATAAATGATTTATGATATAAATTTATGGTGTTTTCTAAGAAATATAAATAACGTGATTAAAAAAGGAAGATGGAATGCCATACATTCTTCGTATGCTTCGCTTTTCTTTCAACAATTATTTTATTTCGTATGCTCTGTCTGTAATATTGATTTTTCAGTTTCCTGCCACTTGTTGAATACGTAGCATATAAATTGACCGTTCCTCTTGCAAGAATATTGTTGCACCAGTGAAAATGCGTCGTATATGTAATGTTTAACAAATTGTTTAATAAATTTTACAAGTTTTCCTAAGTTCAGGGTTCTATTTTTGTCATTTATTTGCATTCACGTGCAAGCGTAATATTTTTGCTGTTGTTGATAACAAGGACTCGTCTCAGATATGGGCCATCGGTAATTGGTCGCCGCCATAGCTGTTGCCTTCCTTGATTTTCGACTCCTGCGTGGCTTCCTCTTCCAATTCCCAATTGGCTTCATCGTCGAACTTTTGCTCCTCGGAAATCAAACTGCAGAGCGACATCCGCATCATTAAACCTACGCAAGAATTTATTTGTCCCAGTGCGATGTCGATATGATTTTAAAGCGAGCTATGTATAAATTTACATTTCTTTTCTGCGTATCCTCTTCCAGAAGAAGAAAGAAATAAAAAAGAAGGAGAAAAACGCACAATGTCCTAGAGAATGTGATTACAATTAAAATTGAAAGAAAATATAGTAAGTAAATATTTAGATGCCAATCAATATTCTAATAACTGTTTATGTTCCTTCTTTTAATTCGAGAAAGATCCAACGAGGAGTTGTGCAATGTATTATTTTCAAAATGTCACCTGGATTATCAATGAGAAACGATTACCTGTTACTAATCCTGAAACGATGGCTATTCCCACTGTAATTACTAGTACTAATAATTGATAGCCAGCCTGTTCCCCTGCTGTTCTGTTAGAGCCAGCTGATATACCATAATTGTCTCTCATCTCGGCCAACTTTGCTTCAGAGTTTGGTGCTCGCGCGGGGAAGATCTAAAAAGAAGAAGAAGCGAGATAAATTTTCTATGAAACAATACGCGAATTGAAGATCACTCCTGATTTTCAGCAGGTAGATTGCGAAAGTAAATTGCAAGTAAATTGCATAATTCTGAATCTTTCAGTAATAATTATAAACTTACATACGTAAATCGTATTTTATACAATATCGTTTTTATCAAAATCATTCAAAAGCCTTCAACGTGCACTTCATAATAACGACGTATTATTTTTTAGACGTTTGCCGCCATCTGACTTTAAAGATAAATTTCAAATGTCGCTACTGTGGCGACATCCATCTTTGAAGAGAAATTTAAAATTTGTCTTCAAAGTCGGATGGTGGCAGTATGACGGCTTTAAATATTTAATGCTTCGACTAATTAATAGTGTCATCAGAAAAATATGCCGATCGCATAAAAAATTGATCAGTACCTCGAGCTGAGTTACAACAGATATTTAGATTGTACGTTTAGCCAGTGAAAATGTAAGTGAGAATGTGTAGACATCAGACGATATCTATATAGTAACTTGAAGTCACGTAGCTATCGGTTATCGAGTGTATGATTGCTTATAACGAGAGAATTTAGATGGCAAGTAATGATTGTGTTGAGAAATAGAAGTACCGACAAGTAATGTATCTTGAGAAATAGAAATATTGTTCCTAGAATAGCTAGTCACGGAATGGAGAACGTAATGGTGCCCTCTGGTACAGCACAGAGTATAGCGCTTACTTCAGAACTTCCGACACATATGTATACGGCTTGCATACAGTCTTTATACAGGCTTGCAGTGATTCGGTCACGCAGGATTCTATATCCTAACATCAAAAATTTCCAATATACCAAAAGAAAAGGGAAGCATAGATCGAAATGTTAAAAATCATTTCTAACCTCTCCTAACAACGTTTTGGTAGAAGATACCAAGATTCACCGACACAGAGAATATAGAACAAAGATCACTGCGATCGTCCCCTAGGATTTAGATCGAAAGACTAAAGTTACGTTGGCCAGCGAACAACAACAACAGCCACGAGTTTCTTACGTTCACCTACCGGGATATCCGTTTCACGACCGATAGATTAAGCGATCTCTGAGGCTTTTCGTCCTCGTAGAATGGACAGAAGTTGGCCGCTATTCACCGGCTAGTCGCGTATTTAGTGTCCTTCCGCGAACTCAATTACCCGAAAGCCAGTCGCCAATTAATCCTTCGTTAAGAAGAGGAAACTTACGTACCTCGTAAAGGGAATAATCGTAAGAGGCTTCAGTGGCGAGGCCTGCCATCAGTGCGCCAAAGATACCACCTAAAACGCCGGGCATGCCGTGGAGATTGTGCACGCCGCACGTGTCATGAATCCTCAGACGTTTTTGGATCAGCGGCTGGAAGAAAAAGTGGAAGAATCGTGACCAAAAGCCTGGAAATTGCAAGTTTGAAGGAGATTGCTGTAACTGGTGAGCCAAGCCATTCCTTATTTTTTTCAATTTGATTTTTCTACCGATACCGAAGGCACGATGTGAAAAGTTGATACAATGAGATAAAAACGAATAGGTAAATTTGAAAGTTCTTTTATCGCACATGAAAAGAAGATAAAATTCGCGTATGTTCAAGCATACGATTGCTTGTTGTATTGTTCGTAAATAGGTTATGTAGTAGTTGAAAGAATTGATACAATCAAGATGTTAAACTTGTAAATTCTTCTATCGAAAAATAACGAGAAAAAGTATGATTTTTATATATTCAAGCACGAGATTGCTTATATTTTTTACAGATATGTGATATAGTAGTCAAACCGTGAACAATTCCAGTTTGAAATCAATCGCTTGGTTTTCGAAAAATTGAACACTGCATTAAACATACAGCCGGTATTTTTATATTTATCGGAACGTATCGGATTAATGCGAAGAATGAACGAGGGTTAAGAAGATAAATTGCAGGATGAAGTTAAAGTGGATGACTTCCGGGGAACGGCGGTTAGAATCGTGAGGGTTGATAGTAAGGATGAAGTCGAGGCTATAATTAGGGTATTGGGGTTGATGATGGGTGTAGATGAGAGGTAATGATTGGGCACTAATGGGGACAAGCGGGGGGTTTGAACTGATTCACGGAGTAGTTTGTGAATTTTTGGTGCGACAAATTGGCCTTTCTTTTAAGAGACACGCACTGTACATTTTTTATCTCTGCAAAAATGTTACTCCGTTTCGTTACTGTTTCATTTACTTTTGTTTGTTATTCACTTTTTTTATTAATATAAAAAATTACTTCTTTGTAAAGCGATTATAATTTCGTGAAAGTTTCTTCAGTTTTCTTTTTATCTATTTTTTAAATTTCTTTTTACGATCATTCATCATCCTTCTCCAATTTCCTTCAACGTCATTTTTCATCTCGTGTCGATCTTCTTCAATGAATGTTTAAAAATAGAATTTGATTTTTTTCTGCTATTAGAATAAAATTTCGAACGTCATTTTAAACATATATTTAGCACATATTTTTTTTATGGTCACTGTTCGAAGCAATTTGACAGTGGTCGACCAAATGATCTTACATTTCCCCGATTTTCGTTTGTCGTTCTGCTGTGTGTTACGTCTGAATAAAATACATTCAGTTTATTGGAAAACCAATTTGTTAATTTGTTTCCTGCATCAGCTGAACGCTTCCCACCTTTTTTTTTGTTACCGTTCCTTGTTTTAGTTTTTTTTACTTAATATCGCTGTTTCCTTTGAACATGGGACGCGCACCGTGTCGAAAAATGTTACTCCCGCCGTAATTTTCATTTTTACAAAATTTAGGAGGACAAACTAAGAGAGAAAAAGTTGATGGAAAAAAAATGTATCTCGTACGAAAATGTAGCATTCGTATATTTGTTGTTCTCGTCGTTTTTTCAATCAAAGTGAGAGACTAAAAAGAATCGTAGCTATTACGTCCTTGTTTCTTTCTCTGTGCTATTTATATTTTTTTCTCGAGAAGAATATGAAAATTTAAGTTGGCAATTTGAATAACGTTTAATTAAAATGCATTTCGTTAGAGTAGTCAAGGTTATTAATTTTTTCATACATATTTTTTCACTTCCCCTTTATATTTTATTATACGTTGTTAATCGCTATTAACGCTAATCATAATAATAACGCATTCGAAACGTACGATAATTGTTCCTCCTAAATTTCACGCAAATTCGCGACTACCTACACGTTTCCCAGATATGCTTATATTTACTGTTATGCTTTCCACTGACTGTTCTGTGGAAAGCATAGATCTACGCGAGCGTTAAACGGGCGAAAGATAACAAAACCGGAAAATCTAAGTGGATGATGCGTACCACGTTGAAAACAATTTAGTTTTAATTTTTTCTCCCTTTTTTTCCGTCGTTACGACTTTCACGTACAAAATATTACTTCCATGTGCTTTATCGTTCTACTTGCAAAGACATTAGTCTCTTTTTACCTCTGATGAATGTTCATTTTATATTATCATTGTTACTTTTAAATTTTATTCATTATCTTTTAACGCTCTGTATAATACTCTGATAATTTTTTGGTAGAAGATCCGCTTGTAACAAATTATTGTTTTCTCTTTGATAAAGTTGGACTCTTTAACCCTTTTAACTTTTAAGAAGAAATATCTTGTCAGTTTTGTATAAGTTAGAATTTCCAGATTATTTCTTCTGGATTATAATTTTCGATAAATTGGAGTTTTCGCAGATCTCTGTTACCTCTCTTAATTCTTCTTAGTAATATCACACGAAAGCAGTAACTCTACTAATAACTAGACTAATTTCCAGGGAACTTTCAACGAAGGAATTTAGCATAGACACGAGGAGATTTTCGTTATCGAAAAAAATCGCTGATTAATACGGTTAAACCGCGTTTGATCCGTACGTGTTCGGAAGTTCCAGCGCGGAAGGAAAAGGGCGCGGAAATCAGAAGAACAAAGTACATAAAGAATATGGAATTAGCGAGCCGCGAAGGAAACCTCGCCGCATGAATCGCGCGGATGATTAAAAGAACTTCTGACGAAAGTTCTTCGCGATGATTATTCGTCTTCCGCGGATCTTCCTAAGTCAATACCGCTATCGCGCGTTTTCTCTATTCCGTTGTCGAGACTCAGGGCGAAAGGAAAGGGTTTAAACATTTTAAAGTCTGTGTTCCGCGCAAATTAAGGAACAATTGGTTAAATTACGTGGTATCGATAGTTCGACTCTTTCTTCGTTATTCTTATCTTTTATTGATCTTTTCTTTATGCTATCCCCTTGTGCTATCCTTCTTTGGGATGTTTTAAGAGTATTTTAAACGTTATTTTTTAACGTTACAGATATTTATACAAAGTGCGTATCGTTGCATAATTATTGCAGTAATACGATTATCAATGCGTGACAAGCACAAAACTTCATTGAAGAGTATAGTATTTATAAACGCTGTCGAGATTCTAAATATATCCGTTTCATACTAACGTTATTAGCGATACTGGTATTTTAAAGTAATTTCGCCATCTAAAAGTTGTTTGATTGTTTGTTGTAAAAGATGTTTGAAACTTAATCGAATTAGAAAACATAAACTTTCGAAGTCTAGAGAATTTTTAACGAGAATTGCATCTCTTTATATTTACAACGCTTATTTGTATATATTTTTTTTTGCATTTACTACATCCGTAAAATAAGTGCAACTTCGGAGAAGACAAAAGTTCTTAACTCAGTGAAAAACTGGATTTAGCGAGGAGCATGGCGAGTAAAAAAGATTCTTTTCTTCTTTTGCAAAGTATTTTACGATTTAATTTAGAGAAAAAAAAAGATATAATCGCGGTGGCAACTTTTACGATATGAAATCACGGCATTGACACAAGATTAACGAGAATCTGGCTAGTGGACGGTAACGAAATACGAAAGTAACGTGATATAGGCTGTTGGAGGTAACCATCGAGGATAACCGACGTCAGAGCCGATCACGTGCCAGTAAATTTAATTTGCTCGCGATTCATAATCGTTTGCCGGGCTTCACGTGCACGTCGTTTCATCGACGAAACCCACTTTCCGCGAAATTTATGTTTCCCACGTATATGAACCTCGCGAGAACTTTCCCCGCCACTTTGGCAGCTTAAAAATTTCAGTCGACCTCGTCAACGCTTTGCACGGGGCTTCTACTATGATTACATCGAACGGGACCACTCACCTTTCGAACTTAAACTTACCTTCGTTACATAATATCACATGGTACTGTCACTTCTGATTCTTTTGTAGTTAATTTTACCTCAACAGCTTTACGTTTCGAATCGTGTAATTATTAACTGTCGTTGGTATTTTAATTTTACACACTCTGCGACTTTGCATAATATCAAAAATAATATCGAATCATTTAAAATAACATAACAGTGATCATCATGGTCGTTTTGTAACCACGTTTCTGTTTCGAAATAATTACGATCTCCGTGAAACCTCGCTACCTGTACGCTGTCGTAGTTTCAAAAAATCCTTTCGTTTTAACATAGATCCTCTGAAAATAATTGACGTTTCATAATTCTTACCTTTACCAACGGCGAATCCTAAAATCAATCCAACCACTGCTTGTCTCCTATCGATCGAGGCACGTCTATTTCTCACAATCTCAAACATTCTGCATTCTCGTTTCTTTTTTTTTCAAACGTTCCAACTACCAGCGAAACTTTCATCATCCATCCGATTCGTCCGTTCTTCTCACACGCGTTTAAAGCAAGAAAGGAGCCAATTACCGTGAGATATTTGTATCCTAATACGCTGAGTAGCCCGGCTAGAGCACCCACGGCCAAAGCACCCACTGGTTTGCACATCATGCCTGTATTTATTCAGAAAATGTCGACTGGTTAGACGCACGGATCGAGTACCGTCCAATGTAAATCTCCGATTAATTAGATCGTCTTGTACCTGCTGCGGTGCCGATGGCTACACCGCCGGCCAACGTCGAATTCTGCACGTGTACCATGTTGAATTTGTTATCCTTGGAGACTAGGGCGGAGGTCGCGAAAGCGATCACACAGCTGGACGAGATGGACAGAAGAGTGTTTATAATGGCCCTTTGCTGATCGTCTCCTTGCAGAGCGGCGCTGTTGAACGATGGCCAGAACAACCACAGGAACACGGTGCCTGTCGAAGCAAACTATGTTCTCCTTTCCTCCGTTTCCCTCAAAGATACTACTATCTTTGTATTCGACGACGATGAATTTGCTCGCGATACGTGAATTTGTGGAACGCGAGTTTGTGCAACGAGCAATGACGCGATGTTTGAAGAGATGGCTATATCTTTGATAGTAGCTTTTAGCGTAGAGGCGTGGTTAAGTTACTTCGGCTATTAGCGAAATGCAGTTTCATTTTAAGACGATATAAATCGTTCGTCCGTGATCATCGCGTGCATGAACTTCCGAACAAAATTCAATGCTGTTCGTATCAGGTTGTTCGAAGAGTTTCTTTCGTTTTACGAGAAAATAATAGACGCACGATGTTTTTTGTTTGATATTATTTTGTCCAATTACGTAGGATTCATTCTGTTCTATTGAGATAAACACCGCGACATTTCACGGACTTGGTTTCACGTTTGTATAAAGGTGCACTGTTGTAAAAAGCACGCGAAAGAAAGGTAATTTTCGGACAACCTAATAATACGTGGAATATTTCGTTTAACTTCAAAATAAAAATATTTAGTCTACCGTAGACCAAGCAACGGTATATCGTGTGTACTAATGATATAAATATTCCAATTATTTTAAATTTCATAGAATTGTAGAATCTAGAAAAAGAAAGGAAGATATCGAACGAATCTTTGGAATTTCCTTTCGTAGTCTTCTCCGTGTTAAAAAATTGAATTTGATAGTATCGATCGATCGAAAGAGATTCAAAGACTCGATAAGTCGATGATCCTTCCGTAAGATTCTTCGAACTTAAACGATTATTTAACGTTGGAGGTATAATTTGACGAAGTTAGCGATGTTTCTCGATCGTGAAGCGGAGAAAAAATTAGAGAAACAGACCAATCATCGCGAAAATGTCAGAGTTGTAGGATGCTCCCTCGAGATTATGTTCCTTAGGCTTGTCCTTCATTCCAAATACGAAACTGACGGCAAGTCCAAAATATGCTCCGAACGCATGGACAAACATGCTATCGCCTGCATCGACGGCCTGCGAAATGAAAATTCATTTGACACAAAAAGAAAAAGAGAAAAAAAGAAAAATTGGCAGGACTCATTTTTATTACGAGTTCCTCGATCTGTAGTTATGATTTTTATTTTTTAAATCATTTCGTTTAGATTTCTGTTTCGTAGAGTAACGATATTTTCATCGATAAACGTTAACACGCGTAACACAGTAGAGATTTCATTTCTGTTTCGAGCAAAATCCCAAAGTAAATTGAAAATAAAATCGATAATAGCGAAAGTAAATAAGTTCGATGCGCCAGGACAATATGGAATACTGTGGAAACATGTTTGTTCACCGGTAATACACATCGTGCTTACGACTCTTTCGAACATTCACTGCCAGCAGTGATTTCAACGTGTGTTGGTCGAAGTTCCAGTAATTTTTAAAACGGAACTTTCGAAGAAATTTAATAAGGAAAGTAAGGAGGAGGAACGATTTGATTAGTACGTGTTCGTCCTACTTTTTTGGCTATCGATTACACGATAGTCGACTTTAGTTTGTCTTTTAAAATCGACCGCTTCGAATACTTTTTCGCAACTTTTCTAATTATCAGTATTCGCTAATCCTATTTCAACGTCGCGTCGTTTAAAAACTTTGAAATTTACGGAACTTTCGAAATTATACCGCGCGCGATTGCTCCTTCGAAAATATCAAACTTTTTGAAACTTTGGGACGAACAGAGATCGAAGAAAATCTATATAAATGTCTGTTTCGATCCTATGTCAGCGATGTTTCACTTTTATATATATATATATATCGATTATTCTGTGAAATAGAAAAAAGAAAAGGAGCAACATACTGTCCTTAAGGAAGAGAATTTAAAAAAGCCTATTTTCCCAACTTCTCTTCCGTTTTCGTTATCCAAAATTTATCATATAGAAGTCTTAAATTTAACTTCATAGATCAATGTTTCAAATGCTCGAGCTTTATTAAAAATAAAGAATCCTCAATGATACGTAAAATATTCAATTGTTCTCTAAACAGATGCATTCGATAATTATAGAACAGCACGCGCGTAATAACTTGCCGCTGTTCTTCGAAAACTATTATTTGAAATATTCTTAAATCGACTAGCGAGCCTGTACATACACTTGACAGCTTCTCCGCGTTACAAGAAATTTCCTGCCTCTATTCTTTCAAAATTAACCAACAACCCAGCACGCCCCTGACAATCTCATTTTATTAGCAAAAATTCCTCTTCGATCTCTGCGCCCCATCCATCACCCAATATCCATCATTTTCTTCCGCAGAAGCCGATAACGCGCCTAGCGGAAAGCCTCTCTACGTGCCGTTGAACCGGTCGTTTCCGGTATCGAGCGGAAACTCGCGCTCTCGATGGCGGGTCGTTTGAAAATCGAGCGTGACGCTCGTAAACGCGCCCGAAGAAGCAGGAGTTGACTTACCATGAGCAGATGCTCTCCCACGTACTTGTTCACGGTGAACATGATCAGCTCGAAAATGCCCATGAATACGAGCTGCATGTAGGTCGTCTTACCCAGCAAAGCGCCCATGGATATCAACGGCGTGGCCACCGCAACGTCCGCGTTCAGCAGGCTGAAAGTTGCCACGTGGGTTGATCGATACGCGCGTTATTAACCGACTGCTAGTCGCCCCGAAAACCGGAGATCAGTATTCATAACATGGATGCGCGATCTCGACTGTTATGCAAACAGGTCGGATCACGGAACCGGAACACGGACGTGATATCCTGGTGGTTCGTTCTCGCGGATCTAGCGCGACCATTCCTTCGCGCCTCTGCGGTTCGCGTATAGTAATCAGAGTGAATCTACGTTTTATTTTTCTTTTCGTTTTCTACTTCTATTCCTTTGGAATATTATGGAAGATGGGACGTTGACTCTTTCGAACAAGCTTCCCAGCTACCATGCTCTTTATCCTTGTTTTTTTAACGCTGTTCGAGATAACTGAAACAACGGTTGTCAGTGAGAGGCAAGCGAGAGGCGGCCGGGTAGCGCGTGAATAATTTCCGATGTTATTGGCTTGGCAACTAAGTGATCGCGGATTTTGTCATTAGGTGGCATTGACAAAATGCCAATAGTTCGTGAGAATGTAGGTAGAGAAAGATTTTTCGTAACACCGCGTTTAGAAAGCGAAGATATGTAGAACGAAAATTGAGATGGGAATAAATTTAACTTTTGGATGAGTTCGAGAAACGGAAAATCCCGACTGAAGGAAGTGATTGAGAAATATTAACCATTCCAACGAAGAATTTACCAGTCTATTCGGTGAACAAGGTGATGTGAAATTACCATGATGCGATGTATTATTAATGTGATACGAAGGATAAGATCGTAGAAGATTTTGTAGGTGGAGAACATTGTACCTATAGATATTTATCAAACGGTAATTATTCTCTAGGAATATATACATTTTGAAGAACTTGTCTACAGTGTTGTAGCGTTTTATTCGTATCATATATTAACGAACGTAGAACCCAAGGAATTTGGTGTTTAATAGAAAAAGTTTATTCGCAGATTAAACACAGATCAAACACTCCGTGTAAAAATTCAATGTAAAATGTCTCTTTTATTTCCGCTCGATCCTCTCGTTCCATTACTCGTTCTATATATTTTTCAATGCACTTTTACACATATTCGTGTACGAATTACTTAATACGAGTAAATAATCGTTGTAACAGATACGAACGAACAACGTAGAGACTGCGAAAGTAATTACACTAACAAACAAGCGATACAGCGATATTCCACTTTATGATCACTTTTCGTTTGGAAATTCAAGCGGACTGTTATTCGAGGTAGACTTTTTCTCTTATTGCGATAGGCCAGCGTGAATTCGAGGCTCGACGAAGGGAAAAAAGAGGACTCGAAACACAGAGTATTCGTTGCACACTTTTTCGGCTTATCAACTATTCATGCATCAGGTAAACACAATCCTACAAGCTGGCTTTGGCATTCAATCGTGCATCGGCCGGTTCGAATATATTTTGCAGCAGTATCCGACAAAAATATCCTCGGACTTTTCTGCCAATAGGAACCTGATGTGTATATTACCGGGACTGCTATACGAATTTATTTGTTTCCAATAGCTATATATATGTACGAGTACCATGCGTTTTTCGAATACAGTGACGTAGACGAGGCGCGAACTTCGGCCTTGTGTCACGCAAGAATTTCCAAAATTCTTCCCGATGACGATAATTTTGCGAATATTTGTAAAAATCTCGATCGAAGCGATACAAGTTCCAAACAGAAGATATTCTGATAATTTTTTACAAAAGCGAATAGTCCATAAATTGCTATTTATAAGTAGTTGTAAATATAGTGTTTTTTTATCCGATAGTCTATCACATGTACATTTTCTTCTTCTTGTTTATTTTTTATTCTTTTTATTCTAAAATCAAATTTAACTTTTCGTAATATCGATTCGTAATATCGAGAAGGATCGGCGCTATTTTACATCGTTGAACTAACATCGTGACAACGAAATTTCTTATTTTTAAAAAATGTCTTGATTCTTGAAATTGAGAAATTTTACCTTCGAATCTTGGAGAATATTTTGCAAAAAGACAGTAACATGAAATATCGGAGTGTGCACTGGTATTTCGTAATTAGTTAGATTATTCAAATGGAAAAGCATCTGTAAATTGTGCGAGGGAAGGTAGGAAATATGGAATTAATACATCTGTCTTAAGCAGCGAGCTTTAGAAGCTTGTGGCAAACAACTGCGCGCTTTGTTACTTTGTTCAACACTATCGTGGATCGTGAAACCACTTAGGGAAGCTATATAACATTCTGCGATATTGTTGCGGTGCCTTAGATGCTTTAGGCCCTAAGAATGCTTCAAGTTGAATACCCAGAAAACCTTTGCCGGATTAAAGAAACTTTATGTAACATCGTGCAACAGACTCCGTACAGTATACTCCAAAATTGTTCTTGCAATTTAGAGTCTCGCGTGACGCGTTAGATTCGCGTTAAAATTATTTCCAACTTTCTTGCAAGATTGTGTAGCATCAAAGCGTACGAAAGTTGTGAGAAAATCTCGCGACGTTACGCAATAATTTTTCCACGCATTGGAAGTTTATAAAACGTTTTAAAATGTAGCCGAGTCAATTTGAAATATCGTTGCAAATAGGAAAGATTCTTCGGAATATTTCCATATTACACATGCGACTATTTGCAACAATATTCTAAAACAATATCGAGTACTTTACGAGTTTATAGAATGTTTTAGAACAGCTTGGAGTATTTCGAAATCGTATTTTCCTCTCTCTAAACAACTTCAACGTTACACCATACACGCCATTATTTTGACTTTGTAGATCGTTGTGGAGTATTACAGTACAGAGTAGAGCAGGTTTATACGTAGAACATTTTGGAAATAGTTTAGAATAATTCGCAACGTAGTTGCATATTGGAATTCCCTCTCTAGGGAATTGCTATGTTACTCGGAAACATTTTTACGATACCCTTGAATATTATAGGCTATCCATAATACTGTAGGATAGTTTGTAACTTTGTTGTAGTAAATCTGTAGATCGACGACATCTTTGAAAAACTTTCAGTTAAGTTCGCAGTGTTGCAACAATGATTTAAAAGTCCGTGGAATTTGTCAGAACGTGTCCGACGATATTTTCAAGTTTTCTATAACATACCGATTATTTGGAAAAATAGGTCGAAATTTGTTTTCTATTTTTTTTTTTACTAATAATAACAACGACTAACCGAGTGAAATAAAAAGTTAGATTCTTCGTCAAAACGAAATATTATTAACAGCGAGACAAAAGAAAAGTAGTTGATAAGACTTTTGTTAACCAGAATACGAATGTTGGAAAAATACGAAGTCTACTATTTAATGGACGTAATGTATACGGAAAGGTGATATCGTGTCTCCTAAGGTTTTAAAGTAAAATCATGGAAAGGACTGGTGTATGAAAAGGATGCTCGGAAAGAGTTAATTTAACTCTGAGAAAAGTCGCGTAATGAATATTATATGTTTCAATTAGCTTGCTTACAACCTTAATTCCATGATAATTCCGACTCGGAATCTGGTCAAGCGAGGAAGTTTTCAACGATTCAGAATATCCTCATTGTGAATGCGACGACATAATTAGCCGCGAGAGTAATTACTTTCGCTTTCGTTAGTTTCTGCCTCTCAAAGCACCGTTCTCCGTTTCCGTGATCCTTGCGAAAATCTTACCGCCAGTAATTTCGAATCTTCTTTGATTTAAAATTTTTGAAAATCTCGTTTACGTCATCCTTAATTAATAATATGCTTCAACCAAAACCGAAATACGTTTCTATCGTTTTATCGCGGTCACAACGAAGCAGCGCTGTGATCGAAAAAGAATAAAATTTCCTGTACTTTGTTCCTTGCGTAAAATTATTATTTACGAATATTTCCGTTTTAAAGCTTTTAACTGTATTATCTGCTATACACGTTTTTGTAACAGTTTCCGCTATTGTAAATATTTTAGTTTTGGATGTTGGACGTGAAAAATATTCAAGTCGCAGGAAATTTTTTATTCGTTGTACGTTACCGCGAAGAATCGCTGAGTTAAATAAAATACGTTTTACAATTAAATAAAATTACAGTGAATTTTATTCAACCGTTGTATTCCTGTGCTTTTTCTCCCCTCGCAAATTGTTATGCAAATTCGTTAGCGTTCCCATTACATATATGTATTTGCAAAGCGCGAGAACCAATCACCATTTATAATTCCATCAGCCGTGTAATTTGTAATTCAAAATTTCGAAAGCAGCTCGTGGATTAGCGAAGCTTAGCCAAACGATCTATAATTCGTGAGGTTTGTTTGAAACTTTTAAAACTACCAGTTCCACGATGGAAGTTTTCATTTAATTATTTTAATGGAACGCTTCGTCAGCTACATATGCATTGGAAAAACTTTTCCATGGGATTAACCATAGGCTCCCCGATTTACGGCTAGACTATCCGGTTTTTTCGGTAATTTCCTACGGTTGGTCGTGTTACAGAACTTTAGACACGGCGTTAAATAACCGATGTAAATATAAATTATTCGTATAAACGTAATAGGAAATTGATTATCGCGATATTGCCGAAATAATACGAGAAATGAAAATAAAACTGCGATAAATATCGTGATAAAAATCTCACCAACCTTTTTAACGACAAGGGAGACGCGTTGTCTATCTGGAAATTCGTCACTCCCTCGCAGATCATGGCAACCTGGATCAAAATAGCGCCGAGTAGGAACGTCAGTCCAATCGCGCTTTGTCCGTATCTTCTTAGAAACGTCATCAGGAAGCCGAATCCGATCCAGATCATCACGTGGACATCTTGATACACTGAGTCGTTTTAACGTTGGCCCGAAATCGCACGCGTGCACAAGGGGAAAACAGAAAGAGCTCTTTGTAGGCGCATGCACAGCTCGCGTGCGGTTAATCAGCCTGGCTCGCTCGCTCGTTTGTTCGCCGGAGATCGGTGTTAATCGCTCGTTAATTGATCGTTGTAATTACGTGGCCCGTTCGAAGGAAGAACGCGGTTTCTCAGAAATGGCTGGGGCGATT